TGAGTACATGCGTAGCGATGGAGCAGATCACAGTAGCAATCGGTCAAACTTCAGTTTGGTGCCTGAAAAGGTCTTTGGAAGAGTGAAACTACAAGAGCTCAGAGGCCAATCACGTGGACATCGAAGTCACTGTAAATGACAATGATAGTTATGTAAAGGGATATGGAACAAACCTAAAGTCAGCCAGCAATGAAAAGAATGAAGGGATGGGGCCTCGCTGAGGACAGTGCGAAGGGGAATGGATGTCTACAACCGCTGAAGCGCTTCAGGGAGGAGGGGGAGTTGGAAGTAAGAGAGCAGAGCAGAGGACCTCCTACCTCAAGGTTAGTTCCTAAGACATAAGGAAGGTAGAACTTCCAGGGTCTGTTTTAGGTAATTTTCAGAAAGCAAAGCCACCAGGGACCAAGAAGATGCTGTGGTCTCAAATCTATAAGAAGGAAGTGTTCTGGTGATGGATGTTTTCCAAAGGCACAGAGAAGGCCCTGGTGATAGGTCTGCCTGATTTCAAATGTCAGTCTTTGAAAACGTGGGGGATGGACAAATTGTGAACCTCAGTGCATCCACAGACATGTCACCAGTTCTCAAAAGTGTAACTAAATCTGTCTCTCTGTCTCTGTCTCTGTCTCTGTCACTCTCTCTCTCTCTCTCTCTCTCTCTCTCTCTCTCTCTCTCTCTCTGTCTCTCTCTCTCTCTGTCTCTCTCTCTGTCTCTCTCTCTCTCTCTCTCTCTCTCTCACACACACACACACACACCTTTACAGAGAGACTTTGCTGGCCAATGAGGAGGTAAGCAGAAACCATGTCCAACTGGGCTTTTGGCAGCCCTCTTTAAGACTGAAGTAGGCTGATAACACATTTTACTTTATTTTATTATTATTCAGTTGACATAAAGTCCAATTGGACATCTGATGACAACTCCAAGATATAAGTGCTGCTTATTGCAGCATTGGTGATATGTTACCTTGCCATTCATTGTTTTGGGATGATAATGCCCCCACCTCCAGGCTCATAGACAGGCTGACAAAAAGAGTTGTTTGTTTGTTTTTTCTAACTCTGATTTAACAACTTTAAATGGAAAAAACCTGATAGCCACACAGATTCAACATTTCATTTGGAGTGCATTTGGACTCTTTTTTTATATTTTATTTTTAAATTTAAATTAGAAACAAGGTTGCTTCACATGTCAATTCCAGGTCCCTCTCCCTTTCCCTCCCTTCCTCCTGAGCCCTCCCACCAACCCCCCAATATCCCCTCATTTCTCCAGGAAGGGTGAGGCCCTCCATGGGGGTGTCCATAGTCTGTCATTTCATCCAGGACAGGGCCTAGACCCTCCCCCAAGAGTCCAGGGTGAGAGTGCATCTCTCATTGTTGGATGGGAGTCCAAAGTCCATTTGTATACCCGGGATAAATACTGATCTACTACCCAAGGCTCAATAGATTACCTAGGCCTCCTCACTGACATTCACATTCAGGGGGTCTTGGTCAGTCCCATGCTGGATTCCCAGGCATCAGCCTTGGATTCGAGAGCTAACCCTCGTCAGGTCAGCTGTTTCTGGGGGTTAAACCAGCCCAGTCTTAACCCCTTTGCTCATCAGTCCTCCCTCTCTGTCACTGGGTTTCTTGAGTTCAGCTCAGTGCTTAGCCGTGGGAGTTTGCCTCTGCTTCTATCAGCCACTGAATGAAGGTTCTGTTACCCAGACTCTCTTGGAGTGGTAAATGTTAGCAGAGATCCATTACTACTCTGAGAATTTTGATAGCATCACAGGTCTCTGAAACAGTAGGTCTGGATCTTTGGGAATGAATTCTTGTCTGTAGACAACAGGATTAGGAGCAGAGGCCAAGGAAGGAGCTAGTCCCCTGTCCAGCAGTTGTAGGACAAGTCTGGTTGCTGGCTCCAATGAGCTAGAAGCAGAAACCTTAGGCTTAGAGATCCTATGTCTTAGATTTAATAAGCACCTGGTCAGACTTTCTTTTTTTTCTGAAAATTACATTTATTCATTCATTTAAGTTCATGGATGTATGCAGGCATGTCATGGTCTGTGTGGAGATTGCAGGAGAGCTTTCAGGACCAGTTCTCTAATTCTACACTTGTATCCTAAGGATTGAATTCTGGTCTTCAGGTTTGGCAGCAAGTGCATTTCCAACTAAGCCATCTTGCCAGCCCCTTTTAGCCAGTTTGAAGTTAGGTTTCCTTCTCTTAGTCCTCCTATCGCCATCATTTAATCTGAAGCCCAAATTCATAGGACCTTAGCGGTACCCAGACTGGCTCAATGTGGACATAGAAAGAAGCAAAGATAAGTCAGATAATACTGTTCAAGTGTGAACCCTCGTCAGATGCTTAACTCATCATGTAGCTTCTACCGGTAGTGGGTGCTGGTGGGGTTCTTACAGCCTGCTGCCTGCTGCCTGCTGCCCGGTGCTCAGTGCCTGTGGCCTGCTGCTTCCCTCAGTAGTTCAGTGGTTTGTTTATTCTGCTGGAGCTGCTGCTGTTGCACTGAAGCCAGACTATCTGCACTCTGCTTGAGGAGCTGGAGCCTGCCAGATGTAAGGAAGCTGTCAGATAGGTTTGGGTAGGACTACTGACGGCTTTTCTCCCTCGCAGCTTACACAGCACCTTCTGATACCATGAGAGCAAATCCTCAGGGGGGAAGCTGCAAGGTGAGCTCCAGGTGTGTGGTGTCTGAAGCATGGGCGTCTTATATTCAACTTTAGGAAGGCAACCAATGGCAACGATGGCAGCTGTGATTATTTTGTGATACTCTTGGATCTGCCCTGATGAGCAATTTGAAGGGAGGTTTCCCATGCTTGGCACTTAAGCCCCACTCCGTAGGCAGGTCTGTGGCTGGAGAGTCATGGAGACCCTACCATTGTCATTTCCTAAAACGATATAACTATCTGTCTGTCTGTCTGTCTGTCTGTCTGTCTATCTATCTATCTACACACACACACACACACACACACACACACACGTAAGAGAGAATGTGTGGCATCTGTCTTTGTGTATCTGGATTACCTCACTCAATATAATGTTTTCCACTTTTATCCATTTACCTGTGAATCTCATTTTCTGTAGCTAATAGAATTTCACAGTGCATATGGACCATACCTTCATTATCTAGTCCTCTATGTTGATCCCATTTCCTAGCTATTGTGAGTACGGCAGTAATGAGCATGACTGGCCAAGTACATCTGCAGTAAGCTATTGAGTCTGTGCAGAAGAGCAGTATAGAGTGTTAGATCTAATTTAGTCTTCTGAGATTTCTTCACATGATTTCTACAGTGGCAGCACCAGTCTGCAATCACATTAACAGTGAATGAATGTCTTCTAGAACTGATTGGATTGTTGAACCCCATGAAATCCCAACCATATGGTTGCATAAGGCAGACTTGTACAATGACAAGAGCAGTCCAAAATTCCAACATGGATGGGGTTTCACAAGGCCTCCACCTAGATGAAGAACTACAGACAATCAATGCTGCTGGGAGAGACAGTCAGTGTTCTCCAAGTAGGAATCCCTGATAGATTGTCCAGTCTAACTGGTCAGCATCAAATATGCATACATCCAGTAACACTGAAAAGACTCTGTAGATATCACACACACACACACACACACACAGAGAGAGAGGAGAGAGGGAGAGAGAGAGAGAGAGAGAGAGAGAGAGAAAGAGAGAGAAGGAGAGAGAGGGGGAGAGAGAGAGAGAGAGAGAGAGAGAGAGAGAGAGAGAGAGAGAGAGAGAGAGAGAGAGAGAGAGCTGTCTGAAAACACAAGGGACTATTAGGAAAAACATGGGTGGTAGGAATGGCCTGAAGGCAAAACCAGCCAGTCATCAGAGTCTTGGGGAAAAAGCCAAAGAAAACCTTGGCAGCTGGGCAAGGACTTCTGTGGGAGCCCTGTGTATAGCTCTGGCCTGGGCCTGGACCAGTGACTTCAGAGTCACAGGCAAATGGCTTTTTCATGAATTCATACCATTAAGTTGTATGGCAGGACGTTTCTGCCGGGTTCTGAAGCTGTTTAGTACAGAATAAACACATAGAGGCTTATATTAATTATAAATGGTTTGGCTTATGACTCAGGCTTCTTACTGGCTAGCACTCTCTTAATTATTAACCCATAAGTATAAATCTATGTACTTCCACATGACCTTATCTTACCAGAGAATGCCTGGACATCCTACCTTCCCAGTAGCTATGAGACATCTCTCTGGCAGCTCCTCTTTGCTTCCCCCTTCCCAGAATTCTCATGGTCTGGTAGCCCCCCTTATACATTCTGTCTGACTATGTCCTACCTGTTTATTGGATGAAACAGCTTTATTCATCAACCAATAAGAAAAAATTATATTCACAGCATACTGAAGGACATCCCCCATCAAAATTGGGTGCCAGTATGTAGCACAAATAATAAAAACCCAGAGAAAGATATTGGGGTTTAAGTTGGATATCAGTAAAACAAAGCAGCCAAGTCACTAGAGAGCTCTTATCTCTACCAGGCCTATGGCTATCCTCTCCTCATCATGGCTGGAGACTAATTGCCAGAATACTGAGTGCTGAATGTCCACATCATACCCCAAGCTCCTTTGTATATACCTCTCTACTGCTGGGATTAAAGGTGTGAGCTCTATTTCTCTTTTGAACTGATTTACTCTCATGTAGCTTTGGGTAGCTTTGAATTCAGAGATCCATCTGCCTCTGTCTTCTATTAAAGGTATGTGTCCTCATTGCCTGGTCTCTATGGCTGTAGCTAGCTTTGCATTCTGATCTCTTGACAAGCTTTATTAGATCTAAACAATGTATCACCACTTATTGTTTTCCCAGCATTTCATGGAATCTATAAGACTGAGTACATAATGAAATGCACTTGTCTCTTCAACTGTTCTTTCCAATTTATTCTCCCTTGATGAAGCCAAAGGATCAGGTTTTCCATTAATCTTCCAGAAGGCACCTCATCTGTGCTCCTGTGCATTTGCATGGAATAGAAGAGTTGTTAATAATAATCACATTACTATGTGGCATTTTGACTTTATTTTATAAATCTTTAAGCTCAATTTATATTAGTTTACAGAAAGCTTGACAGACATTTATTTCTTGACTGTATAATACTCCAGGATTGAGACACATTAAAATATGTTACTAATCATAGTCAATGTTGTTTAAGCAGTTTCCAAATTTATCACCAATACAATGATAGCAATGACTTTTCCTTTTGCTGTGACAAAAGACCCCCAAAAAGGCAACTTAAGAAAGAAAGGGTGTGTTCTGGTTCATGATCCCATATGATTGTGGAGTTAGCATTGTGGAGAAGGCCTAGGAAAGAAGCTGAGGCTGGCTGATCACATGGCATTCATGGTCAGGAAGTCATCAGTGGTGTGTGTTAGTGCCCAGCTTGCTTTAGGCATGTAACTGTGTCCCCAGTCCAGAGGAATGGTGCTGTCCACACTCGGGGTGGTTTTCCTACCATAGTAACCAGAGGTGATCTCCACAAGCTAACCTAGAGCAGACGGTGCTCACAGGATGTAGAAGAGCTTGTGTCCTTAATGATTCTATATCTAGTCCAGTTGACCAATAGTAACTGTCAGAGCATGCAATGATGAAATTCACATATTCCATTTGAATAGTTCTAAAATTGACTCCTTAAAAGCATACATTGCCTGTGCAAACATGTATACATGCAGACTTGGCACAGATGTCCTCTAATAAGAACTTTATGTTTAAATTTACTGAATAAAATGAAAATATGAAGCTTCAAAATAAGACAAAATTTATATCCATGGTTTATCATTTTATCAAAAGTGAATCCTATTCAAATGCTGAAGTAAAGCCTTTTATAACCTCCATAACCATAAAAACAGGAGCACAAATGGCTGTAGCAAATGCTTTTAAAATATTCCCTAAAACAGAAGCACTGTTTCTTTTCATGTCATCGATGTTATCCTTCAAGAGCGCTATTTCTCCATTCATTTCCTCAGATTTCTTCCTAAATCCTTCTTCAAGCAAAGCCTTTTGATCCTAAAACAGTGACCATGAGAGAGAAGTAAATATTGTAGAACCCCAGCATTGTATGGGTTATAGTTTCAAACTTTTAGCAAGTGGTCTTTAGTGACCATTACATGATTTATCTTACCATGAAAAAGATCCTCTGAATTAGGTGTACCCATTGTGCGGAAGGATAGTTGATACTTCACTGATGTTGACCCACAGTGTGTGTTTTGGTTGTAGTGCTAGCAGCAGTGTGTAGAGACATTGCCATGCTCACGCCCACTGAAATGCCACTGGTTGCATTGTGCAGACCTCAGATCACTGAGTGTGGCAACCATATCATGCAGATGGTGATAACATACCCATTGTTTTAGAAATCTATCACTATTTTTGACAGAATCGCTTCAATGTCATGTGCTGCTTCAAACAGGCTGTCCTCCCTGTTGGTAGGTATAGAACCTGCAGAAGCTGCTAATTCTCTGTGCTTTTATCTAGACATTTCTTTTAGCTTTATGTCAGTATCATCTTTGGATTGGGAGGCAGTGGGGTGAGTTTTAAGGTGCCTAATAAATGGGCCTTGATAACCCAGACACATTCCTGGCCTTATGAACCTGCCTGGTTGGGGAGTTTGTTTAGTGAGTCCTCAGGAGATCATTTTTAAATATCCTGACAGTAAATCAAATGACTACAGTCACTAAAACCCCAAAGGAGCAACTGAAATCCTAAGCAGGACCTCTATAGACACGCTACATTTTGGTGGTACTTCCTCTCATGACCTGGCTACAAACTTTCTCCTGCATCCCCAGGGGATGAGGACCACTTGGGGGAGGAATCCCACCTGAAGCTGCTTCTCCAGCATCACTTTCTGGTCTTTGATGAGCTGCTCTCTCTCCTGCTCCAGCTTCGTTCTTAGTTGCTCTAGGTTTTCCTTGTGACTTCTCTCCTGAGCCTCCATCATTTGCTGCTGCTCCTTCTGCTTCTGTCTCAGCAGCTCCTGCTCCTTCTCAGCCGCCTCCTTCTGGGCCCGCTCCTCTGCCCCAGGAAGATCAGGGAGAGCAGAAGTGATGGGAGATTCAGGGAGGATGAGGGGAAGAAAGTGATGGGTCAAGTAAAATGTCTACATTCCAGATACCAGAGAGCAATTCAAACCTGAAAAGAAACAACAGACTCCACACTGGTCCACACCATGGAGAGAGTTTCTGGAGGTGATGGAGGAGACCCTGCCTATGTGACTGAAACACATATGGACTTCCTGTTGCTCTCAGAGTGGTGATCCACAGAAGGATAGAGGGCTGCTAATCTGGGGATGAGTTTACTGTGGCTTCTATTAGGAAGCCATTGTGGTTATCTGACCCCCCCTGAAAGCCAAGAGACATGCACTGTACCTGCAATGGCCTTCTCCCCAGCAGTGAGGGCTGTATCTGCCTGCAGGATGGAACTCTCAATTGTGGTCTGTGACTGCAGAAATCTCTGGAAGACTTCATTTGCCTGTAGGACCAAAGAGCAAAGAACCCTGATAAATCTTGGGAGAGTACCTGTGTGTCTACACAGTCTTCCCTGTGCCTCACTGTTAGAATGCTATGGTGCAGCCTGCAGATGCCCATGCTCTTCAGTTGGACTTCATATTTCCTGGTCCATGGGTCCCGAGTCATCCCTGCTAGTGCCACCTGCCTCTAATTCTCCCAGATCCAGGCTGACCACGTTGTGTGCAGTTGTGGTCACTACAACCTATGATGATCTCAAATATTGTGTCCCCATGTAAAGTGATGCATAGTTGTGCGGACTTCACTTCCCTTTGCTTATGAAGGATGCGTTCATGAATGAGTCAATTCACCTGCCCGGACAACGTGGTACAGGTGTGTAAACTCTCCACAGTATTGGAGGGCATCACCCAAAGCATTTTAGATAATGAGAGAAAGTCTAGGGAAAGACCTCACCACGGTGTCTTTGACAGAGGAGAGTAATATGTTAGGTATGTTCTTATATTTCTTAGTACTCCATAGGTAGACAGATCTGACAGTCTCACAATGTGATTAATCAGAATAGTTACCTGATATTTAGCTGAGCACGGTTCTGGTGTTAGAACTTGAGGGTAAAGCACTTACCTTGCTTTGCAAAGCCTTAGTTTTGGTCAAAAAATACAGACATGTGAAGCTAAAGCTGCCCTGCTATCCTCATGCTTTCTTATTCATCTCAGGCAGTGCTGCGTGCTCATGTTTTATGATACCATATCTCCTCTGAGCTTTGCATCTGTGCTCCCTACTCCTCACCCCTTTCTCGTGCTCCCTACTCCTCACCCCTTTCTCATGCTCCCTACTCCTCACCCCTTTCTTGTGCTCCCTACTCCTCACCCCTTTCCTGTGCTCCCTACTCCTCACCCCTTTCTCGTGCTCCCTACTCCTCACCCCTTTCTCGTGCTCCCTACTCCTCACCCCTTTCCTGTGCTCCCTACTCCTCACCCCTTTCCTGTGCTCCCTACTCCTCACCCCTTTCCTGTGCTCCCTACTCCTCACCCCTTTCCTGTGCTCCCTTCACCACTACTTCACCTCTTTCCTGTGCTCTCTTCTCCTCACCCCTTTCCCAAGTTCCCTGCTCCTCATCCTGTCCCATGCTCCCTGCTCCTCACCTTCACCCCTTTCCTGGGAACCTGCCAGTAGTCATGTTCAATCTTCCCCATCATTTCCGTGTAGAGCCTGTGCCCTCCAGGAACAAAAAATGTTGAAATATTTTCCACAAAAACGTTTGAAAGCCGCTTCAGTTCTTCGTGACTGTATTTATCAGATGCTTCTTCATTCTTCAGCATGAAAATCCCTTTCTTCTCATCTATTAATTCCTACAAGGGAGATGCACAGAGATCTGACATGTGGAAGGAATAGAAGAGATAAAATTCCCAGAAACTGTACAAGAGTACCCTATTTACCAAGAGAAAGCATTCAAGTGTAATAAGACCACATGTAAATATGAAATGCTAAAACCTGAATTAGGATTCCAAAAAAAATCTATGCAAGACCGCAGTAAATGTCCTTTATGTTCCTAACCCTTCTAACATTCTATAAAAAGATGGGTCTGCATCTATATCTCTCGCTCCTTGTGGGTGTCACATCATGTAATTCTACCTTCAATGACACAATGATAAAAAAAAGCAATATATAAGTGGTGACATGCAGTGAGACTCTAGCAACAAACTATTTCATAGAAACATAAGAATACAGTAAGTTCAGGGATGAGCTATAGGTGTTCTGGGCAGAACTGCAATCCATAAACATCATCAGGCTAAAGGATTTAGGACAGTATGTACTTATTATTCCAGTCATTGCATGTTTCTGGATTAAAAAAAAATCAGTGAAGTTTAGGAACTGGACATGCAGTCTTTTACAGTTGTATCCACTATGAACACACAGAATGCTTACCACTGAATGAGACAAGCACCCATGGTCATGAAGGTGCAGCCATGCTACAGACTTGAAGGGGTAGAGTCATGACAGTTAATGACACAAACATTACCAGCAGCTTCTTCTGGAATTGCTGGTTTTCGTCCTTGAAGGAGTGCTCCATGAAGACAGCAATGGCCTCCTTCTCACAGGCTGTGTGTTCACCCAGCAGCTCCTGGAGCGTGTCTGTGGGGAGCCTCAGTCGCTGGGCCATCTGCTCACTGTAGTGGTCAGCTGCCTTCTGCACAGCCGCTGAGTTCTCACGCTGGGCCAGAGTTGTCACAGCATCATCCAGACAAGGCACTGCTCCACTGTTGATGGCCTCCACGTAGGTGGTCACCAGAGTCCCCAATCCTTTATGAATGAGGAGTTTTAGGGAATAAATATGAAGTTATACGTCAATGAGATCCAAGATTTTAAGATACATTTCTCAATCTCTCATAGCTACATATCCACACTCATAACCATGCATACACACACACACACACACACACACCTCCTGCAGCAAGACATTCATAGTTTTTCACATTGTCCCTTTTTTGTTGTTGTCTAGTTCACAATGCTAAAAGTTAATATCAATCTTCACCTAATAAATTTAAATATATGTGAAAATATGATTTGTTATTAAATCTTTAAAGGAATACATTGTATAAAGTGACAAGATGAATACATCAATTCTTTCTTAACTGTATAGATTTGTAGAGTTCAAACACTAGGTATTTGTACTGGAACTATTTAAATATCCCAATTACATTTCATTTTGTCACTCAAAAATTAGTTAATATACAAGCATCCTCCATGAAAAGAGAATATATCAGCTTTAATGGTTTAAACATTGATTTTATAGGTGATTGAGTACTTTTGACTTTATTATCAGTTGACAATTCTACACAGATATGTTACAGGCATAGATCTTATAGATCTTAGTGATGAAGTCTATAAAGGAGTTGTAATCTACAATTAATTATAAAACATATAGAGTAGGTACTAAGCATACTATCATTGCATAGACAATTTAAAAAAACAAACATGTTAACAAGTTCCACATATACTACTCTATACAGAAATGTGTTCAAAAACAAAATAAAGCACTCACGATTTCCAGTGACCTTTATCCCCCCTCTGAGGGTCTTTATCTTTGCATCATTGAAGATGTAAGAAACAAAAGCCCTTGTTTGTTCCCGGAACTTAGGATCCAGTTGGTCTTCTGAGACAGTATCTATTTTTTGTAAGAGTTCTTTGTCATTCGTTGGCCGGTCAAACACAAAGCACTTCCGTTTAGGAAAGAAACGTCTGATGCACTCCCTGGGCAAATTGGATGCTTGGATTCTGGGATTGTTGCCTAGGGTGGGAGAAACACAGAGCAAGGGGAACAGTCTCAGAACAGAGAGCAAACGATGGAGGCTCTTGTCTATGTGGGGTGTTCTGCACTCACAGGTCTCTGTACCATAAACATGCAACACTTCTTTGCATGTCACAACTATACCAAGTGTGCACATAGTAGAAGTTTGGTGAAATGTCCCAGGAGACATTTGACTCCCTGGAAGAGCATATGGCTAAAATCCTCAGACTGGACTATGGCATCAAGCATACTATGGTTGTGTGTCCTGTTGACTGAATAGCAAAAGGTTAAATGTGATGATGACCAAATCATTTTGTAGCAAAGGAGATGTGGAACCCAAAAGAAGAGCCACTAGAAGAATAGTAGAGCACTAGAAATAGCAACATTAGAATTGCAATCCTTACAAGGCTTCCTCAGCTCTAGTTGGGCTAACAACGTCCATGCAAGTAGTTTATACACCATTAATATAACTGATGTAGACCTGATGTTACTGATCCTGACACTGTGGCATAAATAAAAGTAGACTGTTGTGATAAATTATGATGGATACTGGGAAGGTATAGACTAAAAAGACCCACCTGTTAGTTTACTTCAACTATAGCTATTTTGTAGGCAACATAACATATCACCACTAAAAATCAATGTTCCTCCATGAGAAGAACAATGCATAACTGTGAAATACATTTTGAGAAAGGGTTATTTTATTTAATGAACTTCAATTGTATGCTCAGTTCTTTCCTAAAGAGAGGAAAGCAGAAACAAAAATAGGCAATAAAGATGCCTGGACTTGGAGAAGTTTAGATGCTATATACTCTAGATGATAAAGCAACACTGTAAAGAACTCGGGTTAGAATGATTTTGCTGTGCTCTAGGCTCTACTTTTCTCAAAAGAAATTAAACACCAGTTCCCAGACATTATCAGTCAACGACCTATCCATATCTCTGCAGACTTTCATCCCACAGTAATATGGAAGAACCCCATGTAAGAATTCAGTCATTATGCTGGCCTGCCCCTGAACCCCACCCACTTATGCTGTCTTGCCCTCTCTGCGCTCTTCTCTTGTGCCTTACCCTCTTTTTTAAAATTATCACTTTTTATTTTAATTTTAAATAGCTTGTTTTACATGTCAATCCCAGGTCCCTCTCCCTCCCCTCCTCCAGCACTCCCCATCCCCCCCAGCCTCCCACCCTATTGTCAATTCCTTCCACATAGGGGATATCTAGAGTCTGTCATTTCACTCAGGGTAGGGTCCAGGCACTCCCCTAAGAGTCCAGGTTGAGAGAGCATCCCTCTCTGTGCTATGGACACACGATGTCTGTTTGTATCCCAGGGATAGACACTGATCCACTGTTCAGGACCCCATAGGTTGCCCAGGCCTTCTCACTGACACTCACATTCGGGGGGGTCCAGATCAGTCCCATGCTGGCCTCCCCGCTGTCGGTCTGGGGTCCAAGAGCTCTCCCCTGTTCAGATCAGCTGTCTCTGCTGGTTTTGCCAGCCCATTCTTTGCCAATTTGCTCATCACTCCTCTCTGTCACTGGGTCCATGGGTTCAGTTCAGTGTTTAACTGTGGGTGTTTGCCTCTGCTTCCATCAGTCACTGGATGAAGGCTCTCGGATGGTTATAGACATCAAGTTCATTATCAGGAATGGGCATTTGAGGTACTCTCTCCACTATTGCTTAGCTTGCCAATTGGTGTCATCCCTTTAGATCACTAGAGGTCACTCTGGTGCCTGATCTGTCTTCTAACCTATGATTCCCTCTTCCCTCTATTCTACCCCCCTCCACTCGACCTCTTCTTGTTCCCCCATGACCTACTCTCTCTTCCTCTTCTGCTCTTACCATCTTAGTCTCTCTCTCTCTCTCCCTTTTGCTTTCTCCCCCCCTTGTCTCTCTCTCCTCCTCCTCTCACTCTGCCCCCTCTTTAATAATTGTGTCTCGTGTTCCTGTTCCATCTCTTGCCTTTCTAACTTAAACAAAATAACAACATTTGGTGCTGTGAAACACAACAGTCTCTCTCTCAGTAACTCTCCCATTGCCTGTTGGCAGCTGCCAGAGACACGGAGATCCTGCTCTCGAACCAACAATACACTTTTCATCTACCCGATCACTGCAACCCGGTAAGACACCCCTTCTCCTGGTTGGTACATTTCCCTTGGCCACGCTCTAGGGATGATGAGCACCGAGATCGAACTGAGCCATCTTCGGCCTCACGCATGGAAAATACACGTCAAATTGGCAGCTTACATTTTATGGGACCTTTCTGGCTACTTCCAGTGGACAGGTAAATGAAAGGAGTTACTATTTTTCTAAGCTTTCTTCTACCTCTCTGCTCAACAATCTCTTTCCTTAAACTTACCAGTTTCCCTCCTCTTTCCTTTCCAGCATGCTCAAACTCCCCCTTCCCCGCCTCCCCGACACAGTAGTGTCCTACACCTTCCCATCCTTTTTCCACCTGGGAATGTTCTGTTTCTTCTCTATACAGATTCCAGTGGCTCACAGTGAGCTTGGCCTAGGGCAGTGTCCGCTCGGGATGCTCTGTGAGTTTTTCATTTTTTCACCCGCGAATGAGGTTTGAGGTTTTCGGGTTTTATAGAGATTGGTGCATTCTTTTCTCAGACCCACGAGGGATCTCTTGAGTTTTGTACTTGAGCACTGTCCATAGATGGTACTTTCGATTCTCAGACCTACAATGGTTTTTTTCTGGAGGTTGTGCCCACATGGACTCTGGTGTCCTGTTGGTTTCACACATCTTTGTGCCTCACTCGTGGAGAAAAAAGCCACTTCTGCCAGCTGACGGGAAAGTGCATATGACAGCTGCCATCTTGGCCATGTGGCCTAGATTGGGAACATATTTCTGGAAGCAGCCATCTTGACCACATGGCTTAGCCATAGGTCCGCCCACTCTATGGGGTACTCCTTTCCCTCAGCCTAAGCAGAGGGATAGTAGCCTGCTTCTGCCAACAAACCCTGCTGACAGATACAATTCATTTACGTTTTGCCTTACATTTTTGCCTCTGATTTCTTTCACTGGCTCTGTTGCTCATGGCTCGTTTATGAAATGTGTCCTCTACCAGGCACACCATTTCACAAACAAGCCATGCACACAAAAACCTTGTCGGTTCAATCTACCGTGGTTTAGGCTACTCTGTCTCTTTAAATCTCCTGTCTGTTTGCTTCAACGTGCAAATCAGAGATTACATTCTAGTTATTCCTTTTTTACTTTTATCTGGTCCTGTTTGATATATCTGATTGTCTCTCTACATGTGATTACATTTAGCTTTATATGAATAAATGTAAGTTAACTCTATGCAACTGAAATTTAACTGTGCTAAGTCTCAAATATTTCTAAATTGTTACTTATCTGCAAATGATGGTAAACATTTAAAGTTATAAAGGTCTGTTTCACCTTAACGAAATATTTATACCACCCAGTTCTTCCTGTAAGTTGTTTACACAGGTTAAGCTTTGATTACAAAAGGTGGTTCTTCTCTACTTCTTTCTCCTTTATACGCATAACTCTAACCTACTAAATTAAAACCAGTCACAGTCAGGCTAGAGAGCTCTGAAAAAAACATCCCTCCATAGTCTCCCAGCTTCAATCCAGTTTTCCAGACAGATCCTGCACTAATCTGTAGCCATATAAATTAATTATAGGGATAAAGCCTTACCTAGCCACCCATGTGCTTAAGGCAAGTAACTAAAGACAATTTTGTCTGCTGAGATATACTAAATAGACAGATAATCCTCAAATGCTTAGAGATCTAGACAATATGGCATTTAAAATATTTTATTGTAAAGCTTTTTATAACAGAGAGAGCTGGCTCCACCCCATTTCCTCCAAGAAGACTGGTGGACACTGAAGAAACTCCACCCACAGAAGTGATAACACTAACCACTGTACAACCTTGCTTTTCACCTGAACTGCTGCAAAGGACTCTTCAGACCATTATCAAGAGGACAGTGAACTCAAATTTCTCCAAGTTTTTTGGGCCAACGGTAGGCAAGCCTTCCTCAAGTTCCTAATTCACAGATCCCATGCTATTAGCAGAAGGCAGGCCTCCGTAAAGCTGTTAGCTGTTGCACTCAACAACTATGGAGGACCTTGGAGATGGCTGTCCATGTGGCCAGCTAGCAAGTCTTTCTCATTCTCTAATAATTAATTTAGGTAAATTTTTATCCTTCTCAAGAACGCTCATGTTTTTGACGACTAGCGACTTTGTCAGTTTAAAGCAACAACCAAAGCTCCAATTGTCAGGTATTTTAAGGTTTGTCTATTCGAAATTAGGAAGTGTAAGGTGTATGAAGGTCTAAGAATGCAAGGTCTGAGATGGTAATGTAAGGTGCATGAATTAAAGTTATGAAGGTCAAACATGTTCCAGATTTCTCTCTCGTTATGCTACTGTTCACAGTTTTAACATTAATCAATAAACTTCTGATAAGCTACTAATCCAACTCCGACAGAGTACTAAACAACATATTATACCACTATATGATAAGTGCAAGGTCAAAATTAAGGTGCTTTTCATCGTCTTAAAGATATCTGTTTGTTTTTAAAGCATTAATGCTTTCAGTTGAGTCATTTCTGACATGAGTATACTGCCAATGTGTCTAATACATTTTCACAAACTCAAAGGATTCTTGTAAGTTCCAGGGAGCCGATTGGACCCACCCAAACAGGTGAGAATCACTCCAGGTATTATTCAACCTTTTCCTGGTCCCTTGAATCCCTTCCCTCATCTTGAGACTCCCTGGGGAACCCCTCCCTCATCTTATAATCCTCCCCTCAAGTACCAGGACATAAGAAAAAAATTTTCCTAAACTTAACCTTGTCCTCTACTCTGCCAACATCTTGCCAGGTTTACAGAGGTGTCAGAGTTCCACACAGCCTGGACTGTGATGAAACAACCAGCTACCCCAGGAAGTAGCAGGATCCCAGATTTCTGAGGTCCCCCAAAGATGGTCAATGCCCCCCCAGACTAGCAGGAAATAGTCTTGAGAACTCGACGTCCTTATTCCCTAACCTACCATGCCTAAATCCTCACTTTTTTAAATAATAAGTAAAGATGAGAATGTATGGATTCAGTCATTATGGTGACCTGCCCCTATCACCTTGCAGAATGCACTCAGGCAGTACTCTGGTCAGCCCTGGGTTCCATGAGAGCTAGTCTGCATGCAGGTGCAAAGGACCCCTATTAAAGACAGACCCCGCCCACTTATGCTCTCTTGCCCTATTCTCTTCTCTCTCACTCTTACCCTTTTCATCTCTCTCTCTCTCTCTCTCTCTCTCTCTCTCTCGTTCTCCCTTCATCTCTCCCTCTTCTCCCCCTCTCGCTCCCCCCTTTAATAAACTCCATGGATAATGTATCTCAGGTCTGTGTTCCATTTCGTGTCTTTCTAACAAAAAAACAAAACAAAACAAAACAAAAAAAACAAGACCCCTCAGAGGATAGGGAGCAGCTCAGCAGATCTCAGCCCCGCCCTGCCCCCGCCACAGGCCTCCCTGTACCTGGGATCAGCTTCAGTGCATTCTCCAGGTACTCATCCTCCGTGATGCTCTCTCCATCTAACTTCAGCTCCAGCATGAAATCCCGAACAGTCCAGACGAAGTCTGGGAAAGAAACTCACAAATTCTGCCGAATTCTTTATTCCATCAGGACTTGGGGAGGACTTTGCCCTGATCAGCTCAGTGAGTTCTGTGACATAACTGGCACTTGGTTAAGGAAAAGTGAATTCATGCACACGTTCTCATGATTCTCTTAGGAAAAATAAATCATGATGAACACTCTTTTCTGCCCAGGGTCCCCTCTGCCCACTAAAGCCACACAGTGACAGCTCAGGTCAGAGCCTCCATATGCATTGCAGAGCAGTAGTGAAACCTGGCTGCTCAGGTCCTGCAAGGATACTGCAGCTGCTCCAGGGCCTGGTGGTTGATGGTGCTCATGCTGTTGTAGACTAAGGTGCTGCTCAGAAGCACGGCCAGAGCGAAGATCCAAGAGTCATTCTTAGGGTCAACCTGGAAGACACAGGAGGGCAGAGGGCTGAGGAGAGCACTCTCAGGAGTCCACATGGGCTGGCCCTGTGGTCTTGTTATTCCAGGAACTCTGGAGATCAAGGAAACGGGAGCAAGAGTGCTTTTTCTGGATAGAGAAAGAACCCAAGATCAGCCTGAGAGACTTAGATCCCACATCGCTGTGCACAGAACACAGCTCTAAGTGGAAAAAGGCCCTCAGTGCAAGATCAGACAACCTGAATCACACAGAAGAGAGGGTGGGGAATGGGCTGGAACTCATTTGCCCAGGAACTGACTTTCTGAACAGGACCCAGAGTGCATAGACTCTAAGAAAAATTAACAAACTGGATCTCATGAACATTAAAAAATATGTAGCAAGTATACATTGGATAGATAATTATATCTATCCAATGGTTATAGATGGTTATATATAAAGAGCTAAAAACAAGCTGGACATTGGTGGTGCATGCTTTGATCCCAATACTGAGGAGACAGTAGCAGGTGAGTTTGAGGCCAGCCTGGTCTACAGAGTTCGTTCTGACTAGTAATCTGAGAAAACAAGGATACATTTTGGAAATGAGGTTGAGGAGTTAGGTTAACATTTTGAAAGATATATTTGTGTGTGTGTGTGTGTGTGTGTGTGTGTGTGTGTGCGCGCGCGCGCGCATGCATATGTGCCTCTTTCCACCTTCATCTGGGTTGCAGAGATTAAAATAAACTGTTTGCCTGGTGCAGTGAGAGCCTCTCCACCCTGTGTCATCTTGCCTGCTGATTTATCCTTTTATTCCTTCCCTGGGTTTTAGACATCTGGGAGCAGTGTCTAAATTCACACGTTTTCCATTTTCCTCCAGAGAGGCATTAGTAACACTGCATATATGTATTTGGCTCATGTCATTTAGCCCACTGCTCCACGGTTTACACATTTGACCACCAAGCATTGATGGTGGATGTCTTTATTCCCAGCACTCTGGAGGTAGAGGCAGGCAGATGTCTATGAGTTTGAGAGCAGCCTGGTCTACACAGTAAGTTCTAGGACAGGCTGCAAAGCTACACAGAGAAATCCTGTCTAAACATAAAGTAATCTGACCTTATCTAAGAGTAAAATCTAAATAGATCAGTGTTTATCTCACCTGCGTAGTTCAGTCTGATAATTTAGATCTATTCCTGAGCAGATCAATCAGTTAGATAACAGAAGTCAGAAGGGTCAGCCTTGGCCTCATCCTACCTTTTCCACGTCCCCCAGTCCCTCGGTGTCCAGGAGGACCAGGGTGTGCTCTGGCTTGGTGGGATGTGGCAAGCACCACATCCAGATGCCCTTGGTTTCAGACTGCACAGTGGAGCCCAGAGGGAAGCCTGAGGGAAGAGGTGAGGAGTCGGGCTCAGTAGGTGAATACCATGCACAGATAGCCTCAAGTGGGAAACCATCAGTGTCCAGCAGCGTCATGTGTTAAATGTCAGTGCCCAGAAGCCAGCACCGTTTTGAGGGATTCCAAAGATGCGAACTGAAGAGTTGAAGCCTAGCTGGAGGGTATGGTCACCATTGGAGAGATAATGGGAGCTATAACTGGATCCCCAGTCCCTTCCTCAGCCTCTGCCACCTGTCTTCCATGCAGCTGCTTCTGTGATTTCTCCATGGTCCCAGGATCAATGACTCCAACGAGTGCCTGGATAATTCCCTCCCCTTAAATTGTTGTCTCTGGTGCTTTGGACACAGCCACAACAAAGCACCTAAGAGGACAATGCACAGGAAAACTGATGTAAACAGTAGAATTGGCAGGGTGTGAAACTCAACACTCAGAATGCTGCTTCATCTTTCCAAACCTTCTAGTTCATGAGTCATCTAGTTCAAGCTATAGGGGACATGTAACATTAGAATGAAGCCACACAAACAAGGCTCCAAATGGAAACAAAGAGGAATCCACCAATCAGAAAACATGGCGCTCCCTGGTGACTGCAGTGAGAGTGTTTGAGCCAGTCATGGTTGGACACACCTGTAATCCCTGCCATTAGTTAAAAGCAGCTAGGACTACATAGCTGGAAGTAGGTCGACCAACAAAACTGACTCCAAAAAAAGATACTGTTTTTAAATGTTTTACAAATTCTGAGAATTGTTATGGGTTCCAAGTCAGACACACACAAGAAGAAGAAAAAAGGAAAATAAAAAGGAAATTATTATAATAGGTTTTATATTCAAAGTCATTAAAGCAGCAAACAAAACTGGAGTATTCAGTTATAAAAGGATATAAAGTACTTTTTAAAGTTTTTATATTCAGTATTCATTTCTAAATGAATAATTTTTACGATTTACTTATTTCACTTCGTGAATGTCAGAATTGTGTCTGCCTGTATGCAAGTGCCCCATGTGCATTCCTGGTCCCCATAAAGGTGACATAAGGGTATCAGATCCTCTAGAGCTGGAGTTACAGAGAATTCTGAGTATCTATATGAGTGCTGGGAATGACCTCATGTCCTTTGCAAGAGTAGCTAGTGCTCTTAACCTCTAGACCATCTGTATAGCCCCTCTCATGGTGGATAAAGTCTCAAGTATCCAAGAGTTTCTATCCTGAAGAAAATGTTTTATTGAGAAAGAAAACTTGCTGGTTGAGACAGGAAATTGACACACAGGATCCCATTGCTTAGGGCATCAGAAAAGGTCCTGTCTCTGGCACTCATCAGAGAGAATTTCCTTAATGGAATGGAAGGAAAGAATACAAGAACTGATTAATGGGGAGCAGTAATTGGTCATGCAAGTTAGCATGAGAGGGAGGCTTTCCTGAAGGAGTTTGGCTTTCCTTTGTTGTAATTGGAAATAAGAATTAAGATAATATGAGAAAGACAGGCAAACCTTTGGCCAGTCCCCAGCATGCCACTCACCGTGGTTCTGTCCTGCTAGATGGTTCATCAGGTAGGACTTCCCTGTGCGGTACAATCCCACGATGGCCACGACTACCACTGGCTGTGAAATCTCATCCAGAATCTCTATGGCTTTCTGGTTCACAGACAGATGCTCCTTGTGGTTTTCCACCAGACAAATGGGGGCCATCATTTGTGGTCTGGTCATAGCAACTTGCAATGCTAGAAGAATCTACAAATAGAATAAAAATCATTCTCTGCCTGTGTTACTCAAACCCTAGGTGGTTTAGGACTCATGACATTCGTACATTCGCTATTGGCAGTGAGTAGATACAGAGGCCATTCTCCTCTTTCTTCATCGTTCTTCCAAAATTCTAAAGAAGGTTTTGTTAAGACATGGGCTCCATCATCTATAAGGTTTTATTTCAATGTAATAAAACCCAAACAACGGTTACTTTCATTAACGATAAGACAATATGCTAAGGCTTGGAATGAATCCTTTAGTATGTGACCTCCCAAAATCTGTAAGTACCTGCTAGTTAGGGATTAGTGCACACTGTCAAGGAGTTCACTGAGTTTCCAAAACCTTAACGACCCAGCAAAATGGCAGACCTGTGGTTTCTAAGCCCTTGTTCTCTCCATGAATAGGTTTGAAAGTGGCTGAAAATGTATAGGAACTTTTAAGACACCCATGAAGTATACAAACACTGAGACGTCCAAATGAATAAACAGTGTGAATTCCATGTGTATTTACTTTTCACTGCAGAACTCTGCCTCCTATCTGTCACCTCTTAAAATCTGTAAGTACCCGCTAGTCAAGAATCAGTGCACCTTTCCAACAAGATAAGTGAGTTTCCAAAACCTTAATGACCCAACAAAATGGCAGGCCAGTGGGTTCTAAGACCTTGTTCCCTCTGTGAACAGATTTTAAAGTGGCTGAAAATGTGTAGGAGCTTTGAGAGATACCCATGAATTATACAAACCCTGAGATGTCCACATGAATAAACAGTGGGAACTCCCATGTGTATTTAATTGACTTTTCACTGCCTAACCCTGAACACATCCTATATGTCACATATTCTGTCTTCAGGAACCAAAGCAGTAATCATTGCAACAGGCTAACCTGGCACTAATCTAGTGTCTGATTTACCTAACTTGGATTTCAAGTAGGACTGTTTGTTGAATATGGTATCAAAATCTTAATATGAGTGAATAAATAGATAAAATACACTTTGTAAAATCAAAAAATTTTCTGGCATACAAATAGACTTTGAGTGCCCATCCTACAATGAGGGATGCTCTCTCAGCCTAGACTCTTGTAGAAGGGCCTAGGCCCTTCTCTGGATGAAATGACAGACACTGGAGATCCACCATGGAGGGCCTCACCCTCCCTGGGGATCGGAGTGGAGATTGGGTCAGGGACTAGGGGGTCTGGCTGGGAGGGCCAGGGAGGAGGGGAGGGAGAGGGAGCTGGGATTCATATGTGAAATGAGTTTGTTTCTACCTTAAATTAAAAGAAGAAAAGAAAAGAAAAAATGCCAGGATAAACACACTCAAAAAAAATTAAAAACTTTTGTGATCAAATGATTCCTAAAGAGTATAGAAAGGCAACACACGATTGGTTGATGAGTGATATAAATTATGTATGTGATCAAAGATAAAACAAATTTAAGATTATATTAAATAAAGAATAGCTACAATTCATCATAGTCAACTCTGTATCAAAATGAGCAAAACACTGTACTAGACATTTATCCAAAGAAGTTTTAGGCATGACCATAAGCACATGAGGTAACATCCACTATTGCTAATAGCTCTGTAAAGAAAAACTCTAAAATTTTAAAGAATTTATTTGAAAAAGATATGTTGTACAAACTGGGAAATACTAACCTGAAGGATAAAGTGTCTACATTTCCATGAAACCATGTCCATTGCTTTATCAGGAAAACCTGGAAGCAAAACGAAGAAACTTCGGTTACCTGAGTTCTGTCTTGTGGGACTGGTGACCTGGTTTAAAAGTCTACAGTCATGTGGTCTCATGTCATTTTCGTTTTTTATAGCTTACTGTGCCTGAGTCTTCCTTCTGGCTAACATACATATTTACTTGAAATGAATTTCTTGGTTTTGTTTGCAGTTTTGAAGGACCAAAAGTTAAAATTAGTAAAAGCTTAGAAGCCTAGGCCCTGAAAAGGGAACTTCTCATGATTGGGGATGCAGTGGCTGGCACCTGAGCCCCACTCTCAGAGAAGGGGAGGTGACCCTCTACCACTTGGGTCAAAATTCCTGTGTCTGCTAATTGCTAGTCATATGGTTATCCCTTGGCCCAGAGGGTAACTGCCAGACCCTGTAACCCTATAGCCCTGCAAACTCTGTGCCCTGTCTTCTTACTCAAATCTATCTTGCCTAAAATGTATTGTTAATGCATGGAAACTCTGAAATTTGTTATCTTCAAGTTTATGGTCTGCCCCTTTAAAAGCTTCTCTTTGGCTGGTTGGCATCTCATTTCCCTGCCATGGAGTGAGATCCAAGCTGGCCAGCTTGAACCATAAAAAGAAACATTTTGCTTTTGCATCAGAAGTGTCTGCTCCTGGGGTTGATCTCTTGGGCTCTACAAACTGGTACAACAGTTTAAGCAAGAATGAGGTTATTTTAATAACTACTTTTGCTTTTGTTGCTCAGTAATCTTTTAATCCCAGTCTGCATTGTCACCCAAAACCACAAGGTGTCATCTCATACCCAGGAGGACAGCTACCACACAAAACAAAAGCAAATAAATGTGAACCAGGATTAAACAATTTAGATGTCGGTGCACTGTAGCTAAGAGTGGAGAGTCATACTACCTCATGGAGCATAGTCTTGGTGTCCTATAAAATTAGCTGCAGACCAGACAACACATAACCTGCCTGTCTTGACCTTCCCTCCATGGCCACTTTGATTGTAAATCAACTCCGTCTTCCAGACTAAACTGCTTCTGACTGGAAGAAAAAGTAAATATACCTGGTGCACGTGCCGTTCTCAGCTGCTTCTGGCTGCCTCTGATTCCCTTCCTGCAGCTTCTCCACTCCTCTTTTCATAAGCCGGCCCACCACACACTCTGCCAAAAAAATCACATGCTGCCGAGAAAACGAAAGTGAAAGTCATCGGAAGATTTGTTAATTTAGCCCAGATGCTGGAGGGCAGGAAATGCAGCGTTACTCTCCCACTGAGGAGAGCTTTGACCTTCTCTTAGCCTGAAAACCCTCCCTGGTGTCCTTTGTATAGTAAAAATCACAGTAGACTGGAGGCAACAAACTAAGAGAAGTTAATCAATCAGGGATTGTTGCAAGCATGTTTCTGTCAGTGGAAATTCCCTCTGCTTCTTTGGTGAAGAACTTTAATGTTTTCTGAAACAGAAACCATTAATCTAAAAATGGTTTTTAAAAGAAGCAATTAGAAAATAATTAAATGAAATTTAAATGTCTCATTTCACACAAGTTATTAATGTTTGCTTTCAACTAAGACCTGTAGTGAACTGACATTACAAAGCAGTTTAAAATACCATCTTCCACACAGCTAGTTTCCTTTCTTATAGCTGACATCTAGGGTGGTGAGCTCCTGCCTGTGAGAGACCAGCCACTCAGACAAGCCTTCTCCAGCAGCATCCTTAAAGAAGACAGGGTGGGCAGCAGCTGTGTGAAGAGCTCTGGTGACAGCGACCAAAGCAGCCAGGGCAACAGGGACAGCAACACTGAAGCCGACCCAGACCCTGCTGCCTTCCCTCCTGCCATCAGCCCCAAACCACCCAAGTGCAGGGCAAATCCAGAAAAGGCAGGAAAGGAATGTGCTCTAGACAAGTTAGTCTTTAAACTTTAGCAGCTATCACTATGCTGACTTATCTTATTGTTGTTGTTTACTTTGAAATTGTATTTGAGTTACAACTTTTCTCCTTCCCTTTCTGCCCTCCAATCCCTCTCATATAGTGCTTGCTGCTCTCCTTCAAATGCATGGGCTCTTATATATATATATATATCCCTGGGGAAGAACTGCTCACAGATTAGTATACTCAGTCCCCTGCAGTTCTTTGTGTAGCATCGAGGTCTCCTAGACTTTTCCCTGGGCAGTTGGCATATTCATTGCTGTTCTCTTCTTCAGCCCATGTTTGGGCAGTTATGTTGATGTGACTCCATTGGTATAGTTAGTAGGGCTTTATGGAATGCCAGCCCCCAAATACTGACATGGAGGCCCATATGAAAGCTTGGCTTTAGTTTAGGTTTGTTCTCAATTAGCTCTTAAAACTTAAATTAACCTGCTTCAATTAATCTACATTCTGCCACTTGGCCTTTTACTTCTCTTCCATTTTGTACTTCTGACTTGCTGTCTGTTTTGCTGGTGTCTGTCATGCAGCTAGAGTCACAACCATGAGTAGCTTTCTCTACATGGAAGGCTGGCCTTGTTCTCTCTTTCCTTGCTATTGGCCATTCTGTGATCCCACAACATTTCCTCCTGTTGTCTTAGTAAAAAGGAAAGGGTTTTAACTCCAACACAGTAAAACTGTACAATGAGAACCATTATCAGGTATGGACTACATTTACAATGTCCAGTCCATTTGTATATGGCAAATTTGGAGAAAATATTCAATGATCTATGCTATCTTGGTGAGCTCAAATTTTATACCTAAATTATTTTCCTTTTTTTTTTCATTTTAGGTTGTCTTTATTTTCTGTAACCAACATACTTAATTTTGTATTTTAAAATAGCAGACACTATTATCAAATATTAATGAAAAAATCAATATTTCAAAATGGTGGCCCATGAGTAGAAAAGTATACTTTTCAGAATACATGCGCATCTTTTTAAAATAAGCTTGTTTCACATGTCAATCCCAGCTCCCTCTCCCTCCCCTCCTTTCCCGCCCTCCCAGCCAGGCCTCTCAGCCCCCCACCCAATCTCCACTACATCCCCAGGGAGGGTGAGGCCCTCCAGTGTCTGTCATTCATCCAGGGCAGGGCCTAGGCCCTCCCCCATGTGTACAGGCTGAGAGAGCATCCCTCATTGTGGGATGAGCAGCCAAATTCCATTTGTATGCCAGGGATAAATACTACCCAAGGCCCCATGGATTACCTAGGCCTCCTCACTGACACCCACATTCAGAGGGTCTGGATCAGTCCCATGCTGTGCACCCAGCCATCAGTCTGGGGTCCAAGAGCTCCCCCCTTGTTCAGGTCAACTGTTTCTGTGGGTTAAACCAGCCCAGTCTTAGCCCCTTTGCTCATCAGTTCTCCCTTTCTGTCACTGGATTCCAGGAGTTCAGTTCAGTGTTTCTAGAAGAAACCATCCTGAGTGAGAAACATGGTATGCACTCACTCATATATGGATTTTACACATGAATCAGGGGAGTGCCAGCATACAATCCCACTGCCAGAGAGTTTGGGAAATAGAACTTTTATCCAGTGACTGATGGAAGCAGAGTCAGACACCCATAGCTAAATTTTTTTTCTACCATAACTTATATTGCCAGCCTAAAATTATCTTTTCCTGATCTTAAAGCTTTTTCTTATATAAGCAAGGTAAAATTTTGTGTCTTTCAACCATATACAACTTGCAGCCTCTGAACCCTGTGTCTGAAGAGCATGGTGTTTTCAGCAATATGGAATTACCTTGTGCCTCTGGGGGATAACTAAGGGCAATAGCAAGAGACTGCATGCCTTCGGACTCTCACACAGATCTGGCTAACAACTCAAAAGAGGGATTCTTATGTCTGGTATTTGTTTTTTGTTAGGAGGTCTTTGGGAGCTCCATTGGCCTAGATGAGAAAGGTTCGCTAAAACTACATATCACTGAATTGTGGGCATTATACTTTTTATTATTTTTAGTAAATAGTGAGATTCCTTGAGGTTATTTCATCCATCCATATTGTTATTTTGCATGCATCTCTCCTTCTCCTGTGTTTGCCTCCCTCCTCCTTTCCTAAGGAGAATACCTTTTCTCCTATCAGATAAATTATACCCTAAGAATATGAACCATTCACCAATTTGTGTGTCCTCCTTTGCTGGGGTTGATCCTGTATCAGTCCTATGATGCAGGGGCCATCCATTCTGGACTGATGTCTTTAGGGCTGTGTTTGGAATAAACAGCCAAACAGCCAAAAACCCCGGGGGTCCGACTCTGAATTGGGGAGTGTGGATCAAGTAAGTCCCAACTACCCAGCGGAGTTAAGGACGAGACAGAGACATCATGTCATTTCAGGAGGGCATTCAGTTAATACTGGAGACCACGGTTTATTCAAATAGCTGTCCAAAAGCAGGGGGATTGGTAGAAGACAACTATTATCATGTACATAGGGCTGACTAGGAAACATTTCCTTTAACCATAGAGATGGTTCTAGAATGCACATACACGAGCCCTCAGACTTTCCGTAATGGCATGCCTCACTAGTCTTCAGACACATCCCACTGGTCCCCAGGCATGTCCCACTAACCCTCATGATGGATTTGGTGCCTAGGTCTATTGTTACATAAACTGGAACCCATTCTCCACTGTGGCCAGGCCATCTGGAGGTAACCAGCTGACATCTAAAAGACAATAGGAGATTTGAGCTCCTGGAATTGAGCTGAGACCTGTATCTGAAAATATCATATTCAGATCCGGACAATCATTGCATTGGGGCCATGGTAATAGTCTTTGTATCATTCCAGGTTTAGTATACACACTGCCCGCCTAAGTGAGCCCAAGGATTGACTTTAACACTCAACTCCCACTCATACAATCTACAGGCACTCACAAATCAACAAACGTCAGAGTTAACTGTGCAATAGATCAAATGAACTCAGAAGACTTCTCCAGAATATTCTATGCAATCGATGATGCCACATCCTCCTCAATAGCTCATGGGTCTTTAGCCAAAAGAAAACTCATCTTAAGCTGTAAAGCAACTTTTAACAAATAGAAAGCTATTTTTTTGTATCTTATCAGGTCATAATCTCAATAGATAGAGTCTTTGAAAAACTAAATTCATTCTTGATTATAGCCCTAAACAAGCCAGGAAGAGAAGGTTCACACCCATACAAAATTAAGGCTCCTGTGATAATCCTACCAACAACATTATATTGAATAGAGAATAACTCAAATTAGTTTCTCCAAATACAGGATAGAGACAAGGGAAACAAAGCCTCAAATATTATTTAATACAGGGTTTGAATCCTCAGAGAAATAGAATGAGACAGGGAGAGAGGAAGAGACAGAGAGAGAGAGAGAGAGAGAGAGAGAGAGAGAGAGAGAGAGAGAGAGAGCCTACCTGGCTGACAAAGCACTTGGCTAACATACAGAAGTCCCTGGATTTGGTCCTCTGAACCACATACCAAGAAAAAGGCTCTGAAAACCATCCAGGGTCCAGCAAGGTGTCTCTGCAGGTTAATATGCTGGCTCTACAAGACTAACGATATAATTTCAACTAAAGAATGCCACAAAAATTTGAATATAGTGGCAAGCCTTTGAAATCTCAGCACAGGGGAATTGCCTGGAAGCTGAAAGGCCAGCTCACCTGGAGTAACCAACATGGCAGACAGTCCAGGAGAGCTTGCTTCAGCCAGTTGGAAGGGGAGAACTGACTTTCAATAGTTATCCTGTGATCTCCACACATAGTATAACACATAAACACACACACATGCACACACACCACACACATGCACACATGCATATACATGAACACATATGCATGCACACACATGCACAGATCCACACATGCACAGATCCACACATGCATACCACACACACACACACACACACACACACACACACACACACATACACATGGAAAAGACTGAGAGCAGCTGTGGGAAAGCTTTCTGGATTTAAATAAGCAGAGCAGGTTATGGAAACATGCTTGCACACCTCTGTATATACCCATAGTTGCAGAATTGTTCACTGTAAGTCGGTAAAGTGTATAATTTTAACTATGCAAAACTAAAGCCATTCCCAAGGAGGAATGGTAAAGCCAAAGTCATCTACACTATTAATTCTTGTTTCAGACCCTGAAGTGAGCTGGGCAATAATCTTGTGGAGAAGAAATTTTAATTTTCTATGCACCAACATAGTGTGTGTGTGTGTGTGTGTGTGTGTGTGTGTGTGTGTGTAAACTTAAATGAAAAATAGTCA